CTGTTAATAATAGAAATAGTAGAAGAATAGAATTTAGAAAAAAAAAAAAAAAAAAAAAATTAGGAAAAACCGCAGATGGAAATTAAATGAAAAAAACTAAATGTGACGAAACACATATATAATGTTTCAAAATCGTTGCATATTTCATCACTCATCTCCTTCACTGTTTATCGACCTCAGTTTTTCTGCGAAAAGATGACCAGACACCGATAGCCTTCGCATACATTACTTATACATACATTATTTATCTTTTTTTAGTGCTAATTAAAAAAAAGATAAAGGATAAATTAAATCCGGATCAAAGGTGATTTATATGGTAAAATTAACGTTACTTCTTTGTTTCATACAGACAGTAACGAAGTGAGGCGATTTTGAAAAAAAAAAATATCGAAAAAGCTACCAGGTACACAGTAAAAAAACATTTTGTATTTGTGTTAAAATCGGTCCTTGTTAAAATTTTTGTGTTAAATAAACCTACATATTTATATAGTAAATTTAACACATGTCTACTATGTTAATTAACCTTAACAAATATAAAATGTAAAATTATTAAAATGATTTAAGAAATGTGTTAAAATAACACAATTCGTATTTATTCTTATTTACTACGTATTTATTCAATATGTTAAAAATTTACACAAAAAAAATATTGGTTTTACTCTATAACAGAAGTGGGGATGACTTGTTATTATTCTTTGTGTGGTTTCGGCACAGTCTTGAATTTTGATGCGTCTCGACATGTTATTTTATCATTAAAAAATTATGTTAACTGTAACATACAATTAATTTCAAATTAAGATCAAGAGTACATTTCTTTTTTGTTGAAATATTAACACGTAGTGTCGATGTTATTATCTAACACACATCCATATTATGTTAAATTAACACAAAATTTTGAATGGACCGGGACATGCGATTTATGTTAAGTTCAACACATTTTTTTCCAACAGTGTAGAAATTAAATGGAAAAAAATTATTAAATACGGTTTCGACGATATAGGACGTCGTAGGACGTTTCAAAATCGTCGTCTCACATTTCGTGACCCTTTCGCCGTTTATTGACCTCAGTTTTTCCGCGGAAAGATGACCAGATGACACCGATAGTCTTCGCGTCACTCAATATTGCGTCGAATCACGCGACGAACCTGGCAATTATTCAAACCTGGCAATTATTTTTCGCGATGCGTCCGGGCCGCAGAGATCCACGAGAGATCCACGAAAGGTCCACGGATCGGATATATCTTCCTCCTCCTTCTGCACCCTCCGCCTCCCCCCCCGCGACGCCGCAAAAAACGTGACGCGTGCACGTGTCGTATGTCGCGAATGTCGCGATCGCGTGCACGACATACGTGTTTCTACGCCACGTTGCAAGCAGTGCGACGTGGCGGTGACGAAGCGATTCCCGAAGAAGAAGAAGACATAAATAAACTTGATGTTCGAGCGGGTATGCGTAACAATTCGCCTGGCTATTGTTCCGCTAAACGGACAAACGGATAGCCGAGCGGTGAATCACATGAAATTGTGTAACGTCGACTCGACGTTAACCATGTCCCTCGCAAATGCGTACAACCGCGGATATTAATTGACTGTCACGAAGAAACTAAGCAAGTATATTTCGCCCAGGAAATTCGATTAGTTTCACGTGAACATACGTTACGATTTATTCGCGTCAACGTAACTTACTCGTAGAAAAAGATATACCAAAGTATCTCGTTTTTCTTAGAGACTTAAAGCAAAAATTGTATAGGGAAAAGAGAGAAGGTAAGATGGATAATCTTATTAATTTTTTCCATGGTGAACGTAAAAATAATGATCAATTTTTTTTTCTTAATTAGCTGAAGTCTTACCCATCATCTGCAGAAATTGAAAAGCTTATAAATAAATTAAAATTTTGTATAATTTAAACTTTTTAAGAAATTTCTGTAACAATTTCGTCGTCTTCGTGGCTAAAATGATTTTTAATAGCGGGTAAGATGATGAAGATCAAAACTAATTTTTTATGAATAAAACTTGATTTGTTTTACAAACTTTTATATTATTCTGTTATTATAATATTTGAACAACAAAATATAAATAAATAATACCTATAAGCAAAAAATATTTATAAAAATGTAACTTTAGAAAAATGTTAAGAAAATAAAATTTAAACACACAAAAATAACAATTATTTATAACTACATAACTTAAAATAAAAGAAAATTACAGGCGCAAAACAAAAACAATTATTTAAGTAATTTCTGCCATAATATTTGTTATTTTATCTCACTATATTTATTCATCCATTCAAAATATTTATTTCATCCATTTAAAAGAATGTAATATAAAAAATGAAAAATAGTAATATGCATTTTTAGTTATACTGTACAGTAGTTTTATAAAAAAAAAATGAACATATATTCACTATACTTGTAATTCTTTATAAAAGTATGCACAAAATTATATACCGATGTACTCGAAACATATTTCTTATTATATTATTTATTATCATTGACAGATTAAATTCAAATTATAATAGATTACAGATTTTCTCTTACAGATCTCTAATAAGTTTGAAGCACCGAAGCATTGTCTGTTATTAATTTAGAAAAATTAGTCATCATCATTTTACCCATACTTCTTACCCTCCTCTCTCTTTTTAATTGTCTTCTTAATTCAAACGTAAATGTGAATCTATATTGAAATAACAAAATATATCTTGCATTATTATAAATTTTCTATCGGTTCTATCGAATACACATTACGTAATTTTTCCAAATAACATTCTCCTTTTTATATAAATTTTTTTCTATTTGACGTCTGATTTAGTGTCTCCTACACAATTTTTCTAATTGACTTTCTCTTACAAAATGAATCCGCGTTCGAAATTTCAGTTCCAAGAGAGGCGTGACAATTTAAAAGTATGATAACGCAATATTCTGACACATGATACAAGCGCTCAGGTCAAATCCCAAAATTATCCCAATTAGTCATTCGCATGAGCGTGTCATGATGAATGAGTATCTCGGCTACCTACTTCTACCAATAATCGACAGGTGAAACGTGGCGGTTCCGCGGCTCCCCGGCGGCGACGGGGCGAAATAAAAACGCGAAGAGGCAATCGCGTTAGCGCTCGGTATCGATCTCTCGGAGTCACCACGTAACGCGCGGTGTGATAACGCATTAATATTCATTCGGCCGGTCGAACTTTGTACGCAAGCAGATAATATCCGATATCCCAATTCTTTTCTCTCTGTATGTTTAGTCAGGTGAGAGCTGAAGCTCCAGCGCCAATCACACACGACGACGTGTTCCCGAGCGGATCCTGCTGCATTATTCATGGCCACGTCACTAGGCGTGTGTCAAATCTGTCTCACGCATTAGCATAATGCGCAATAGGATACAGAACGACGAATCTAACGAGAATAAGGATACGATCTGCGTTTTAATTCGTATTCGCCCTCGTGAAGAGACGTAAATGGAAAAAGAGGAGAGGCGCGTCGTCCTTCGACAGACTCCCAAATGGGCGATAGCCCAGCTACGTCCAATTCTCTAACG